AAAACCACCCCCCCCCCCCCCCCCCCCCCCAGCTTACAGGACAAAACGAACTTGGGTCCAACTAGCCTTTTCTTTATCCCCTTGGACTGGCCATTAAAGAGAATTTATCCAAGGCCTGAACAGGCCTCAAGCTTGTAGCTTAGGGTGCCTCAATGATGCCTAGTTAGAGCCACCAAGTTGGTCTGGTTAGCCTCAATATTGATGCCTAGTTAGAGCCACCAAGGTGGTCTGGTTACACTCCGATGACAGCACAACCGTATACAGTTCTTTCAAACAAATATGAACAAGAACAATAAATTCTCTCCTTCAAATTCAATTCCAAATGCAAGCGAGCCATTTCCTGTGGTCCATGATCCTTTAAGGCATTCATGCAGTTTCTGGCAAGCTCCCCTGCGGCTATCTCTATCCAATATCATAGGGGACCAATACCCTACATATTTGATGCGATATATCCAAGCTCTTAAGCTAATTTTTTTGTCAATATATAAGTTTGGGATGAGTTGAGAATTGAAACTATATATAGCAAACGTATGTGTTCCCATAAATATTAAATATAATCTAATAAATACCTATTTTTCTCAAATGATTAAAAGAAAAAGGTACTTTCTGTTCATATCTTTCATAATACTTCCAAAGCAAATAAATTTTAGAATTGCCCGCTAAGTTTTGTCTAGTGGTCCATTCATGTTTCCATCCCTCGAACATGCCGCTTCTTAACTTCGAAGGATTTATTTTGTATTGAAAGATCCATTTATTATCTATTATCTAAAATACCAACTGTATAATTTTTGTCATTTTTACATCCTCCAATCACTTAGTGTTATTAACGAGTGTCTCATGTCCACAACGAATAATTTTGCTAGTGTACAATATTTTGGTCTTTAGATTTTTTTGAAAAACTTATTTTGGTCCCTACATTATTTTGTTCTTGCAAATAATTTCTTAGTTAAGATTTTTTGGTCATCATAATTTACATCCATACACAGTTTAGTCCTTGAATGATTAAAAAAAATTTAAGTCCCTACATATCAAATATAAACTTAGTAAAAAAAATTAAATAATTTAAATAGGTTGATGGGTAAGGTAAGAGTTGAGTGAATTTAAATAGCATGCCTATAATATTAAGAAAAAAAGGTAAGGAAATATTGTCTATCACATACCTATTATGATAATTGTTTTAGATTTTAAAAAAAAATTGTTTTGGAACTAAATTGTATATGACTATAAAATATGATAACAAAAAAAATTCAATGAAGAACTTATTTGTAAGATGAAATAACATAGTGACCAAAATAATATTTTTTAAAAAAATCTAAGAACCAAAATATACATTAGCAAAAACATATGTTGTGAGCACATGACATGTGTCCATTTCCAACGGCTTTAATGAGATTAACTGCAACGAGGACAAAAAAATGATAAAAATAGAAAGTAAATGGTTTCTTTTTACTAAAATAAAAAAATAATGAAAGGACATTTCATGTACAAAAAGAAAGAGTATGTCAAGCATTAACCGTTTCTTTTTTTCCAGGAAGATTTTGAAGAATTTGGTCCACTAAATTGATGTATGAGAGTTCGTGCTGCGCGCGTGTCTCTGATGCTTGCTTTTGAAAAGATATATTAGGTCAATTTAATTAAATGCATTTGTGTCTGAAAAGGTTAACCTTCAAGAAATTATTTATTTATTTTTATTCATTAAGAGTTATATTCTTGTTAAGCAACCCATATATATATAAATTCTTAATTAAGTACTCTTCTAAAAGAGTGATCATTTGATATATGTCAATCCCTCTCAATAATGGAAGATTTTGGTTTCCTAACACTATTAATAAATGTCAATCCCTCTCAATAACTAATAAAACCTCAAAATCTTTATTTAAAAAACCTAAGACATGAGACTTTCGTTCAAAAAATAATCAAACTTACAAATCAGATCTGAAAAAATAAAAAGGTTTGCACAAATTGAGGTTTAAGATGAAATGTTCTGGTGAGAGAAAGAGAGAGGACCTTGCTTCTGGGGCTATGCAATATTGAAAGTTTAGATTACTTAGATAATCATCTCTCTTGTTTAAATTTCTCACCTTTTTCAAGATATGAAAGGATTGAATTCTAATTTGAAAATTGAAATCTCAATATTGCAAAGTACTCTCAATTTTAAGTTATAAATAATGGATATTGTTCCCTCTCCTAGAGGAGGAAAATAATTCAAATTGTACTTGGGAGAAATGAAGGTAGTGTCTACTTTCATAATTAACTTCGTAACTTTCTTTATATATCTTATAATAATAATAATCTCAAAAGAAAATTAATGATGCTTATTGGATACAAATTTTCCAACATGAAAAAAAGGCCTGTTTAACTTGCATTTAAAATAATAATAAAAATTGAAAATAAAAAATTAAATGAACAAAAAAGATCTCATTTTATTTTTTATATCAGAATTTGGAAAAACAAATCTTTTTATGATCTCTTATATTATAATATCGATGTTGACTAAATAAAAAACTCACGCTTTAAGAAAAAAGAAAATTCATCTTCTATAGTTTTCTTTTTTCTAAAAATTTTATAGGAAACTGGAAAATTTCCAATTTTCGTTGATATAACGCTTGAACTCATATATATATTCTGATTATAAAAAATTACGTACATCATCTTATTCATATCAAGAATTAATCTATACATGTTGATGGTTGGATTTTTGTTTCGAGAAAATCAAACAATTTGAGTACTAAAATTCTTCATCTCTACCAATCAACTATGAAAGCAAGAGGGGCAAGAGGAGATAGGCAGACACTAGTGAGTAGACACTGCTAGAAAGACAAGAAATTTGATTTGACCATGAAATGGAAATTGAATTTGCACAATGAAATAAATTAAGTTCGAGAAATTGAGAACGCTCAAGCAATACAAAGGTCATATCCTAGCTAGCCAGCTACAACAAGTCATGACTTCTCTCTACAATTACATTAGTTAATTATGTAGGAATGCTGCTAAATGCCCTCCTCAACTTCTTCATTGCTGCCCTTCTAAAGAAGGAGATGAAGAGTTGCTAGGTTGGGGTTTGGGGGACGCTAGCTAGCAGAATGTTTGCTGGATTTGTTGAGCAAGATCCTCGGCACTAAGCTGGCATTCAATTCCAATCTGTTAAGAAAAGCAGTAACTGGCAATCATTAGCTTCAATGAATTACTGCTACTCTAAATAAATTTAATTTAGCATGGGGAGACAAAAACAAAATTCTTAGAGGATTCAAACTCAATGAAGACAAATGGCTAGCTGCAAAGATACCCTAGTTTTCAGCTAAGTTAATGTTGTGGGTTCCAAGAGACATGCAATAATTAACTTCAAAGTCAGTACAAGTGTATGGTACAATTAGGTTCTTTCTCACAAATAGACATGAAATTACTACTATACAACCATGGCAATTATATATTTACTATTTTTACGACAATAAATCCCACATTTATTTAGTGAATTGTCATGTCCTTTTCAATTCATTTCTACAATTTTGAGGCGTAGCTGATTCGTAATACTGTTTAATTATTTTTTCTTCCAAGAAAATTGAACTATTAAAAGAAGAAAATAAAATTAGCTTTCCATTAATGGGCATGAGATAATAATTTCTTTGAAAAAAAAGATAAATAATCACTTCACAGGTGACATTCTATGTACTTCTGCTCACAAATATTTTCCCTCTTCTTCCGCTAACAAAGAGAGAGAGAGGGAGAGAGAGAAAGAAACATGATGAGAGGAATTGGTATGTCTGTCTTCGTACATCTAATTTAAGAGGCATACTTGGTGCATAAATTCCTTTTTTTTTCTCTCCATTATTAATTTGAACTTATATATCAAATGATAATTAAAATGGTGCAAGAAATTAAATTTGGAGGAGGTGACTTATTTTACCTTGATTGTGAAGGAATTGAGCATAGTTTCATGATCTACTGTGCTAATGCTCACATTTAGAATCTCGAGGGCAAGGTCTTCAAGGGCAGAGACTATTTTCACAGCTTGACCAGGAATCCGAGGAGATACAGTCTTCAATAGAACATTTGGACCTGAGAACTTAACCTCAACATCAGCAATTGCTGACTTAGAATTCGCGATGAGTTCGTTAATGTTGTCATTAATGGAGGAGGAAGAAGAAGAAGTTGGAGATGGTTCGAGTGAGTTGGCCATGGCAGGAGAAATGTAACCTTGTTGCAATCTTGGCTTGTAAGGGCTACATGGTTGTGGCGTTCTTGGACTATTGGGCAAATTAAGTCTAGGACTTATTGGTGGTTTTCTAGGGCTAAGTGGAAGTCTTGGACTTGAAACGATCCTAGGGCTAAGAACTTCACTATAAACTTTCCTTTGCTTCTTGGCTTCAAGAGATTGCAGAACTTGTTGCAACTCATTGATGTAATCAACAACTCCTCCAATTATTGATGCTTGGTCTCCCTAAACATAGTAGAACAAGAAGATAGAAATTAAGACAGGGAAAAAAAAAAACACTAGGAGTAAAGGAAGATGAAACAGAACATCAAAAGAAAAGAACAATACGTACTCCGAGTGAAAAACTTACTCTTTTGACATAGAAGCAAGGCATGAGGGACCTTAACACGGACAAGTGCTCATTCATTTGCTTTCTCCGGTTCCGTTCCACTGTAATATGAGATATACGTTGCTGCCCATCTGGGTTCACTTCCTGATCTGAAGAAGCTATGGTTGCTGCTGAAGCTGCAATCTTTTGTCTCTTACTTTTTGATGAAGTTTCAAGCTCATTATTGGTCTCATCAAAATCTTGCAAAACACTAGAAGATGAAGACTTTTGTGAGACTAACCGCCTCGTTTCTTCGCTTTCTTTTGAGCTAGCAACAACTTCATCTAATGGAATCACTGGCGGAAAATCTGTTACACTGTCTAAACTCTCAAAAATAGCAAACAGATCATCTCCATCAAAGCTAGTGTCGCCAAATTCAGTTTGTACTTCTTCGAGAAAATCAGAAAAACTCTCACTCATTTTGAACCAACGTTTGGCTTTCCCTTTCTTGTAAAGAGTTTTCGTTTTCTTGGATTTTCAAGGGAAAGTGATGGGAAAAAATGAAGGGCTAAAGGGGAAAGAAGAGAGGCATGAAGTGGAATAATAAGAGGGCGCCGATGACAGCAGCCATGAAAATTGTGAGTGGTATAGTATTTGTATTTTATAAGATTGTCAAGATCAAGAAAAGGATGCCAAAAAGAGTAAATATAAGAGGTGATGTGAAAGGTACTAAACTATCACCATCATTGCTATCTTTTTAAGTTTCTTATATGAAAGTTACGTTGATCTTTGCCGTCTGTTTCTGGGGATCGATCTAACGGGGATTCAAGGAGCTGCAGGGCAGAAACTGAGCACAGAATCCCAAGAAAATGCATGCAAAGCCAAAGGACTGAAAACTCAGAAACGAAGACGAGGTGCCCTTGAGAGAGAGGGAGGGGGCGAGAGAGAGAGAGAGAGCGAGCGAGAGCGATGGGGAGAGAGGGGTTAAATAAGATGAGGATGTCAATGAAAAGCCGCTGAGATTGTATTAAAAGTTTTTTTTTTTTAAAATCAAGGCTTCGTGGTCATTCTTGAAGCTGATTATATATTATGTCATGAGATTTGAAGAAAGTTCTCCATTGCATCCGAGGAGAAAGACAAGCATGATGTCACCTCGAAAGGAAATTAAAAGTGTACTTGGTACGGATTTGGGGTTAAAGTGTGTGTTTAGTTAATGATAAATAAATTTGTTTTCAAAATAGTTTTAAAAAGAATTTATGTCATTTGGTGACGAAGAGCATGTCTTGTATATCTTCTTCTCTTTTTTTTTTTTTGTTGAAATCGAGAATAAATATATAATAAAAAGAGAAAACATGAACAGTAAAGAGAGCTTTAGCTAGTAGCCTAAACATCAGCATAATTACAAAAAAGAAATACAAGAAAATCTATAGCCCTACTATTAAGCTGAGCAAACCAAACCCACACTAAATTAAAAATTAAGCAGACCAAGCCGAAATGCATTCATGATTCCTATACAGATCAGCACCGGTATACCAAAAAGAAGAGTTGAGATTCTTGATCCATCCTGCAGCAAAGTAAAACAAATGTCATAGTATATCTTTCCATATTGGCTTTTGTTCCTCAAATATCAAGTTGTTCCTAGCAATCCATATAGTCCAGACAATGCTAAATATAAAGCCCCCCCAAACAGATTTTTCAAACTTACTGTGGTTACCCTGCAAAAGACCCAACCATTGACATTGAAGGTCGTCAAGGCCATATAGCATTACCCAGTTCAGACCTCTCCAAGCTATAATTTTGTTCCATAGTTTCCAAACCACTGGACAATGCAAGAGGATGTGGGATACAATTTCTGAATGCTGCTCACAAAAAGAGCACCTGTCCTCTTGAGGGCTTAGGACGTGCCTCTTCACCAGGAAAGCTCTTGTGCAAAGGCCTTCATTTAAGGCCAGCCATAAAGTCATTTCTGTTTTTGGAGGGCAAATGGATTTCCATACATTTGTGACATAAGTTATAGAACCAGCATACCTGATCCTTTCAAGGGCGAGCATACAAGAGTTTACAGTATAGTCTCTGTCTTTCCCCCATTCCCAAATCAACCTATCTTTTTTCAATCGATGAATAACTGCAAGATTAAGATCAGACATTAATCTTTGAACCATCAGGGTCTTAATAGCTTTGAGGGGCCTTCTCCATTTCAGATTCCAATACCAAGAATCCTTTAACCAGTATCCCATTTGACTAACAAACCCTGACTTAGAGGAGGACAAGTGGAAGAGGGCTGGATAAGAGTTAGCTAAGCAGAAGTCAGTCAACCAAGTATCTAACCAAAATTTAACATGATTACCATTACCCATTTTAAATTTACAACCATCTCGAATAAAAGAGCTATCAAGATCTGAGCCGGTAATAGTAGAGTTGATTCCTTGCCAAATCCCTGAAAGTTTTTTCTTGAATGTGGGCATCCCATTTATGAACTGAGGTCTGTATTTTGCCTTAATGAAATCTGCCCAACTAGTTTTATCATTGCTTCCCAATTTCCAAATCCACTAGAAGAGAAGAGCTTTGTTTTTTGCTGATATATTCCCAACACCTAAACCACCCCTGTCTTTTGCTTTTGCCACTGTATCCCAAGCAAGCCGATGAATTTTCCTGTTATGAACACTCCCACCCCATAAAAACCGAGACTTCATGGTTGTGATATTGCGTGCCACTGTCTTTGGAATGCAGATTTCATGTATATCTTCATTATTCTCACCTTTTTATATCTTAAGAGTTAAGACTATAATTAAATACTTAAACAGGATTAAACTTGATAAAACAAGATAAGATTGTGTTTCATATATTTGAAGGTTGCGTAATAGTGTAACTAATTAAAAAATATATATATTGCAATATAAATATTATATTGTTTTTATTTGCAAAATTTATAAATTCAATTGTTGTTTGTTAGAGTGGTGTGTGTGTAGAATAGGCTTGAATTCAAGATTTATTTAGTTTTTTTAAAAGGAGAGAGGCACTAGTATAGCAACAACTTCATTAATTAGTTTAATTAGTTATTTGTCATGTATGAAATATTTTTTTTAATATTATTAAACTCGAATTAGCTTGATGAGTTAATCTTATGATCAGCTGATATGGTCGCTATTCAGAAGGGGTTTTAAATTAATTCGAGTATAAGTTGATTTGATGTGACCTAGTCAACCTAATATATCCACACAAAACTCCATCAAAATTAAAAATTTAAATTTATAAATTCAGTGAATTATGCTACTAATAAAAAAACATGTAGTTATAAAACAAGTTTCAATGAAAAAAATATAAATTGATCATTTTTATGAACCTATATGAATAAAATATAAGAATAATAAATTTGAGAAAATTATACAAAAACCTTTAATAATTTGTTTTTAAATAGACATTTCATTTTCATTCAATATTAATGAATAAATTATTTAAACAATTCTACTTGTTAGGCTAATATATAATTATTTATAACCAATCACTAATATCATCATAAAAAAGCTCTAATATTTATAAAAAATAATGACATAATTATATAATTATTTAAATATTATTTTAATAAATTGATTCAAAGAGATATTTTTGTCAAAAATTAAAAAAAAAATGTTGATGGATATCTAATAAAAAAGGAAGCCATACATGTTCCTAGGAGGTTAGTCCTACACGCTTGGTTGGTTTTTAAAGGGCAGACGACGTGTTCTTTGTCTAAATTTATTTTTTAAAGAATAATAGATGATGTGAAGCTTGCATGCATAAGCAAATGACATGTTATCTTCTAGTTCATTTTGCAACCACTAAAAATTCAACTTCAAGTTGTAGATTCTTATAAATCAAATTTCCAACTTGTATTCACTTAAAAATATACCAAAAACATCACAAAACTCTCAACAAATCCATTTCAAATCTTAAAAAAAAAGAGTCTTAAATGACCTTAAAAACCAAAATCTATTCGAATAAAAAAAAAGACTTTATAGGTCCTTTTATACTTTTCATAACATGTTCAAAGGAAGACCTTACCTTTATTAAACTTTTCTTTTGAATATGAACTCGTTAACATAAAAATCAGCTTTTTGGTGGTTAGAAAGTAATCAACCTACCACTTTCTCTCTCCTTTTCTATTTTCTAGAGCTTTTCTCAAACTTTTGAAATTTCAGAGATTGAATTATCAAACAAATAAAATTAAAGACTAAAATGTGAAGCCCTTATAAATAAGAAACAACAATGAAAAAGTAAAAATCTTGTAGGAACTAAATTGTACTTTTTTATGTGCCATGAATAGTAAGAAAGGAAAAAAAAGATTGTTTATTTGTTTCTGTGTTAAATTTCATCTCTAGTGTTTCAATATTTTTTCAATGGATAAAATCCATTTCTATTTTTGCAAAATTAAGCATTGATTTAATAGTAGAACATGTTTTGACATAAAAAATACAATGTATTAAGATAACCGAAACAAATTATCATGCTTTAAATGAACATTTATCAATCTGATATTTCATATCATTTAAAAAACATTAAACAATCATATACAACATAAAATAGGGAAATTCTTGTTTATATATCTTTGGACATCGTATACTATATATAAAGACTCTTCCAACCAAAACATAAACGTAATTTGCACACTATAAAGTTCCTTTCTAATTAATGCATAACACACACACACATGTATTTCGCATGTATATTAGTCATATAAGGTGTTTTTCATTAAAATAAAGGATTTTATCCACTTTAATTAAGTTTTGATTGAGTTTCCCATGCATGGCAGCTCTAGCTAAAATTTTATCCCTCATTAATACCTGCATACTCAATGATAAAAACCCAAATTGCATTTAGTTCATACAAAATGCTTGCCACTTAAAGAACTTATTTAGTCACAATTAATCACCATATTCATGTAAAACAAAATTCATAAAATTGCATGAATCTCATATAATTAATTTATTTTTACATAATATGCAATTCTAACAACAAGATCATTATTGTGGTGGCAGGTAAGACAGGCTTGCAATATATAGAGTTGAGAATAATTTAGAGGCTTAACTTATCAGTTAGCTAACCTTTTTTCTGTGTATGTGCGCGCGTGTGTATGTAGGGTAATATACAATAGGAATGATAAATATTATAATATAAAAATATATCTATAATATTTTCTTTATAGAAACATTCTATATTATGCCCCCTCAATTTGAGAGTGGAAGATCAACCTGAAGCTTGAAACAAAAGGCAGTAAACGAAGTAGTAGGAAGTGGCTTAGTAAAGACATTTGCAAGTTGATCCTAAAAGTAAATAAAATGAATCTGAATCTCCTTCTTCATAACTCTATCTCAGCTAAAATGATCCTCAACATGTTTTATGTAAGTATGAAAAACAAGATTCATAGATAAATAAGTGGCACTGAGGTTATCACACTAAATGATAGGAACAGAAATAGACAGAATCTGAAGATTTGTTAATAAATACTGAAGCCAGATAACCTCAATAGTATCATCAGCTAAGGCTTTGTACTTGACTTCAGTAGAAGAGCGAGCAATTATACATTGCTTACCTGATTTTCAAGAAATTGATGTCTGACCAAGGAACACAAGATAACCACTCGTAGATTTTCTATCATCAATAATACCTGCTCAATCTATATTTGTAAAGCCATGTAATGTAAAGAAAGAACTACGAGTAATATATAGTCCATATGTTGTCGTACCTTTAAGATAACACAAGATGTGTTTAACAGCAACCCAATGAGAATCTATAGGAGTATGCATAAACTAATAAACTTTGTTAATATCAAAACAAATATCTAGTATCATAAAAGTAAGATATTGAAAAGTACCCATAATTTGACAAAAGCTTGTACACAAAAAATAAAGGATTTAGCAATATGGTAATTGTAGATATATAGATAATAGTATCAACAAG